CAGAGAATGCATGTATGACAAGAAAAAGTGTATCGCATGATCACACACTGACCCTGAACTGCACACAGGCAGTTTATACATCTTTATTTGCAAGACATCTTTCATGCCTTCAAAGCTATATGTAATATGTACCATTTCGCTTCAGTACATCCTTTGTGCGAAAGGGCCATGCACAGTTAACTATTTCTTCCACTCTCTCCACCCCTCTGATAAGCAAATAATAATAATAAGCAAATCCACCACAGGTGTGTGACCCTAGGTACGCCGAGTAAGGCAAGGAAGGCGCTGAGTCACTGTGGTTCTATGTGACGAGGCTGAACAGTCGGGGTTCACACCTATCTACAATGAATAGTGGCTGGGAAGCTTCGGGACTAATAAGTTCTCTCATGTTAAAGCGAAATCCATGCCGAAATCCATGGTCTATGTCCTGTCACTGCAACCTTTTTCTTGCCCTTGACATTTCTGTCTATGAGAGGCTTCTTTCCAGGACATTCTCCTTGATCACCCACACTCACAGAAGCCCTTAAAGACAATACTCACTCTACAGAGACAACTGTCCCGCAACACAGCAAACGAGACCAGAACGCCTTTCACTAACCACAAGATAATGCTTCTAAGAGCCTTCTTCATGTCCCCTTTACTGACCGCCTTCCGACTTTACTGGGAAACACTGCTTCACGGTGTTTCTGCTTTCGCTCCCCAGGGACAGGGCAACAGCATCAGATTTACCAGTCAGTGAACAGATGCTGACACATCTTCCTTTGAGCTTAAACCCCATTTCTTAATATTCTGCAAAGACAGTCCTCCAAAGGTAAGTTTTAAAAGCAGACTATGAAGCCACAAGTTGTGTCGCATACCTGTGTAATCTCAGCACACAGAAGCCTGGGGCAGGGAGAGGACAGTTTGAAGCCAGACTAGGCTACACGGTAAGACCTTCTGTCAAAAGCAACACATAAATAAATGCTTTCTACGGACAAGTTGCTCAATCATAAAAGACCTTACATGGAGCCACCGAGATGCCTCAGTGGGCCAAAGGGCTTCTGGGTGAGACCAACAACCTGAGTTCAATTCCCAGAAAAGCAGGAGAAAACTACCTCCAGAAGTTGTCTTCTGACCTACACACACACAACATGGCATGCACACTCACGTGTGCACACACAGATCAAATAAGAAATCAAATAAAAGCTGTAAAGTGACCAGCTTCCAGACTGAGGGTCCGGCTGCACGTCGTACTCCTTAAACCGGCAGGCAGGAACCCAGTAGGCCAACAGCGAAAATGGGTCACTGTACCCTCCGACTGCTTCACCATTTAACCATGAAAAGAGACTTACACAGCATAGAAAACGCTACAGAATCGATCTATGTACTCAGTAGGAAGCACGCACAGCTCCAAGAAAGGGATGTTCAGCCAGGCTTTAGACTTAGTCTGACAGAAGCCGAGATGAAAGGCCAAGGATGTGCTCATCCTTGTTTTTAAAAGGACGTTGATGTGAGAAGGGATTTCCGCAAGGAACGCTATCACAGAGACATATCTGGAATATAAATCAAGGTAGACCCTGAAGCCTACTTGATAAAAAGAAAAGAAAAGAAATTGAAAGTAAACAAATGATTGATTAGAGGTACGTGACTTTCTGGAACTCTCCTAGGGAAAATGATCAGTTATCATTACTAGAGAATGGTGTTTAAGCCTTCATATCAAAGCAGAGCCAGAGGCCCTGGGGTTCTCAAACCAAAACAACCATAATGAAACTCTGTGAGAAGCTGCCACACGTTCTGCTTGTCAAGCGTTAGTGAATTCACGTGAATGAAGGGAGATACAGGGAGAGGAACAAAATAAAAGGGACCTGTGGGGCTCAAGTTCAAAGCTACCACAGGTGATATCCGGCAACCTAATCTAACTTCCTGGGCCCTGGGTGACTCAACTGAGAGGTTCGGGGACAGAATGTGGATTGGAGCTCTTTATACTTGTGGCTACACTGTCCTGATTTACAACACAGGCTCCAAAATTCCTAGATTGCCCCAACTCTCATAGCCACAAAGTTGCAATGGTCATCCCTTTTGGGGATGATCCTTAAGGAAACCAAAGCCCTGAAAGGCTTACTAGCCGTGGGGAGCAAATGCTTCTGTAAGCTGGGGAGAGGGAGTTTTACAACTAGAAGTGTTTAGAAGACAGTTCAGAGTCAAGCTTGGTGATGCACAGCTTTCATCTCAGCACTTGGGAGGCAGAGGCAGGCAGATCTCCGCTGAGTCCAAGGGCAGCCTAGTCTACATAATATAGTGAGTTCCAGGACAGCCAGGACTACATGGTGAGACCCTATCTCAAACTAATAAACAACAAACAAGTTAAGAAAGAGACCGTTCTGGAGACTCACACAATTCCACCACAGCATATGTGTCTGAGTATGTGTGTAAATAAACTAACGGTTCCATAATAAAAATAAAAGTTTGTTCTCCACACCCCCTCCCCCAACAAGGCCTCATGTGTGTTGGACAAGAACATAAACGCGTTTTTCTAACTAGGAAATTCTCGGCCGAACAGAAACAAAATCTTTTTACTATTGAGTTTTAAGTGCCTGGTGGAAACAGACCTCCCTCCCTCCCAACTATGCTGGCAAGCCTCATTATAATATGGATTACAGCTCTACTAGCAGAGAGGGACAGGGCTTTTAATGTTCTCTGGGAGATAAAGAATTAATCAGCAACCCAGAAAAGAAGTTGTCTAAAAATGGATGATGTAGTCAAAGTTAATTCCATTGTCTCTAAAATTGTGCCCTCAATCACCCAGCATCAAAACCCCACTATGGCAACAAACAAACTGTATGTGGTTAAAGAGACAGAATGTCCTTCTGGCTGTTATGGAAAGCAGAAAAGGGCTGACTATGAATCGGTGATGTTTCAGCTCCACGACGAACATGAATTATGATAATTGAGGCATTCTGGTGGTTAAACCAAAAGAGCAGGAAAACCAATACTTTGAGTTCCAGCAAAAGTCAAGTTTGTGGCGCCAGGAACATGCAAGTGACCTTACACTTATTTCTGGACTTCCCTGGCTCCACCAAAATCAATGAGACCATTTCCCATCCCTTACTGTCAAATCACAGCAGCTGGGATGCCTGGACACATCGACTTGGCAGGTAAGAAGAAATCTCCAGGAAAGAGTCTCGAGTAAAGTCAGATACGAAACTTCTCTTTACAAGGCATACTTTTCATTGTAAAAGCACCAACAAGATCTATTTATGATGCTCTCTGACTGACACCCACAAGCATTCTGGCTGACACAAACTTTGCAGATTGTAGGGAAGTCCCTGTGAGCTCTTTTAAGTACCCAGATGAGCACAACACTCAGAACTGCCACCATAATGAGCACCTCACAGGCGCTCATAAATTCTTTCATTCCCAGCAATCAAGAAGCAGCTGTTAAAATCCAGGAATCTTCCTAGTAGCAGATCTGAAATACCTCCGGGCTGCCCACAGAAGCTTCACAACTGCTTTCTTCTCTTCCTCCCTCCCCCACCCCAGGAGTGCCAGCCTGGCAGGATAAAGATGACCCAGGAAGGGGGGGAGTGGGGTGAAGGGGAGTAGCGGATCTGGTGAAAGTAGAGACGCAAGCTCCCTTCTTTTTCACCACAAAGAAAAACCAACCCCCTGTGCCAGCCAACCAAGTTTCTCCTTCCCTCCCCCAGCACACTAACTTAGGCAGTCTGATGAGTCTGGCATTTCCAGAGTTCGCGACCTCGACCGCCCTGAGCCCTTCCTAAAAGATTTTGAACCAGGAGCCAGCGGCGTCCGAGCTCCTTTCCAGGTTAAGGCTCAGCTTGCCTTTACCTTTTAACCCGCTGGGACGCTACTTCTGGGGTCAAGTTCAAGATGAAGGTACCCTCCTCGTCTCCCTGAGTTCATTCCGCAAGAAATGTAACACTGAGACGAGCCCCACACTACTCCAGGCACAAGGGTCTGAGGCTCCCAAGCAGGAGCCTAGGCAGCCTGAAGACGACTGTCACAGCCACAGCCCGGCGTCCACCGCCCTCGGCCGCGGCGCCGCGTTTCTACCTGGCCACGGCCGCATTTCCTCCCGGAGCCTCTACACAATTAGTCAAGTAAGTTTTGGGAACGCCAGTCCAGAGATCTTGCTGTCAGCAAACACGCTACACAATGCCCAGGGCTTCCTTCCCCGCCAGCCGTTCCGGAAAGAACCGCGCCGAGCCCGGGGGGGGGGGGGGGGCAACACATACCCAAAAGTCCTCCAGGAAGAACCTGAATCCTCATAAAGCCTCCAAAGTAATCATTCATCACCCAAGGACAAGAAGACTCGAAATCTTGACCCTGCCCTCCACTTCGCTGGCACTAAAAGAAAAACCCTCAAGGACTGATCCCAAATCATCACCCCACCACCGCCACCACCACGGGAAGAAATTCGCGTGCATATGCGAGTCGCAGCCTGCAGGAGCGAAGCACTCACTTTCAAGACCACAGAGGACGACACGGTTCGCCCCCCGCTGAAGTTCGCTCGGCAACTTCGCGACCCGCGCACCCCGGCACTCGAGACCGAGACCCCGCGGTGCCACGCGCCCCGCCCGCACGACCCCCACCCCCACCCCAGGTGCCCTGCGCAGCCCAGGCCCTGTCTAGCCAAGGGACAGAGGAGGCGGAGGAGGGACCGCTGGGAAAGTCCGCGCGCCGCGTGATCCCGGTGTCCCCCCCGGCCCGGCTCTGCTGCAACCCGTTCCTCCCGGCGCGCAGGAAACGGCCTGCACCGACTCCCCGGCAGCGCTAAGCCCGAGGCCGGGAGTGCCCGGCTTGCCCGCGCCTATTCCCGGAAAGCTCCCGTTGTGCGCGGCGGAGCGGGGGAGGGCAGGGGCGTCCCGAAACTTTCCCACCAGCCTCGCTCTCATTTCCCGGGCTGCCTCCCCGGGACCCTGCCTCCCCGCCAGCTCTGGCCACTGACCCGGGCAGCGGACGCCCGGAGGCCCGCAGCGACGCCCGGGCAGACTGGAGTTTACCTGCCAGGAAAGTTTCCAGCTTCCGACGCGGTTCCCACCCCGGGGGGCCGGGCCTCAGGGCGCGGCGGGCTGAGCGCTCGGCGGTGGCGGCGGCGGCTCCTGCGGCGGATCCCGAGCCCGGCTCCCGCAGCTGCCACCGCGGAGGCAGCGCTCGGGCCCGTCCCCCCCCGCCTCGCTCGGCCCACACCGGGACCTCATTGGCAGCGCGAGTCCCCGCCCTTGCGCGTGTTCCGGAAGGCACCTTCCTTGTGCGCGCCCGCTGGGGCTGCGCCTCCCGCGCCCCTCCCGCCTGAAGCTGCCGGGGCTCTGCGACCCGCTGGGGCGCGGCACGCGAACTTTCTGCCGGGCGCCTCCGCCCCTCCTCTCCCAGCCTGTTCCCTGCGGGAAGCCAAGCTTCCCAGGAGAAGGTTTGCTCCCCTGGGGGCTCCGCCTAGGCGTCTGCCTGTGGGACAGGACCAGAAGTGCGCTTAGTCGCCCCCCTCTCTCTCTCTTTTTTTTTTCAACCGTTTTAAAATCCGTAAAGTGACCCGGCCTTCGGTCTACGCTGCTCTTTAAAAGCGTCGGAGGAGGACATATGGGAGCAATTAGCCAAGCTGAAGTTTCCTCGGATGCCTTAGGGTGGCTTTGTTGGCTTTTCTTCCCCCTCGCTTAACTATACGCAAACAAACACACTTTCTGGTTCCAAAATGGGCTAAGAGAGATGGACAGTAAATCTCATCCACTACACCTTTTTCTGTGCAAAAGTGAATTGGGGGTGCTCGCGGGGTCAGTGATTGCCCAGGGTCGGGGAGTCCACCGCCTCCTCCAAATCTGTGACTGGCGATGCGGGTCTGGGCTAAGTCCACTGGCCAGCGCATAGCTTCCTTGTCAGGAGGAGGAGTCCTGAAGGGGGAACAGACAAAGATGCTATTATTATGTAGGCTGGTGGCAGTAAATTGAACTCCCTAGTTCCCAAAATGTTTTGTTATTCCCAACAAACAGAAGGCCAAGAATGGCATAGGATAGATGGGTCCTCCAGAACCTCCCAGGAACCCAGGCAGTCAGTTTACATGGAAGGAGTCTCAACCCACTCTGTTCCCAAAGCCCTTTGGACCCCCTTTCTTTGCAGAAGGATCAAGTAGAAATTCCAAAAGGAACTGAGCACAGGACGCCCATCCGTGTGCACAGAGTGAAGAATACAGAAGGCGCTATAAATGACTTTATGCGCAACCCCTAACCTTTGCTGTGGCAAACCCGCCTTTAAAGACAACTGTGTTTTAAACAATTTTCCCTATAAAAACTTCAACCTCACGTAGAGCTTCCCAGTATAAAGATAACAGCAGGAATGGTGTTCATATTTAAAGTTCCTGTGAAAAGCGGCAGGAAGCAAAAGGCCACACCATCTCTCTGTAATAAATAAAAGATGACCAAAATGGGCTGGATATTTTTTACTCGTACATTCAAAGGCCCGATTATCACGATATTTATATTTAAGCAGCAACACTATCCCAGCCTTTCCTCAAGCAAAGCAGGACATGAATATTCAAAGCAAGCAAGCAAGAGCATAGCTCGGGAAGCAGGAGAAGTTTGGACAGCCTTCCCCGCGCTGACATGCCTGGTTGATAAAAACCAGAGTGATGTTTGATGAACTTCTCTTGGAATACAGTGTGTAAGAGTAGCCACTTTCAACCACAGATCACAAAGGTAGCCGGCAACAATAAGATAACGACATCAACTCAGCAGTCAGTCCAGTCTGAAATCCTAAGATGGATGAGAAACTCCTGAAGAAAAAAACAGGTACAACTTCCTGCCTCGGGCTTGTCCGTAGTGGGCAAAATGGATAGGTGACTGGTGCAATTCATAATGTTTTGCGCCTTCCTCTTGGGCTATCCTCGACTCTTCCCAAACTTTAATGAACTTGCTTAAAGAGCCTTGGAGACGATCAAGTTTCTTCACCTCTCCCCTCAGACTTGACCAAGTAGCAAGGAGAGCAAGCACAGAAAGTAAATATGCTAGTTTCTTGCATCACCTTTATTTCTGGTTGAAAAGGGCTTGGTTTTATAGTTTCAGAAGTCAAGGGCACTCATGAAGAAATCTCACCACTGCCTGGTTAGGGGTGCTTAACATTCTATACAGGCAGGGAGCTAGCAAATGTGATATTTGTACACAGAAGGGCACTGTTTCCCCTTCTTCCGGTAGTGTTTACATAATCCGAACTACTTGTTATTAAGCACAACCCGATCTCCTGCTCCAAACGATTTCGTTATATACAGAACGTGGTACTGAGAACATCAAAGCTGTCTTAACCTGTGAGTGAAAATGATACATGTTAGAAAAGTTAAGACCCAAGGTACAACAGAGTAAAGAAAAAAATCATGGATGAGAATAAAAAAACGGGGGGGAGGGGCACATGACATGTAAGGACGACCAGAATCTCTTCTAAGACTTCTTAAGAAGTCTCTTCTTGAGCTGGCCCCTTGCACTCAGGAGAGATGGCCCCCATCCCTCACCACAAGTGAAAGTGAACCAACCCAAGGGCGTGGGTATGGGGGAGCTGACTCCTCCTGCCGGAGGTGTGTGGTCCCAGTGGTCGGGACTGACCAGCTTGGCTACCACGGCAGGCCCACAGCCTGGTCTTGGGTTGACCCACCCTAGCATCTACGCTATCTAGGACCCGCTGGAGCTCCTGAAGCGGTGAGACACAAGATCTCCAAGACTTGGGACAGACACAAGATATCCCAGAGGAGCTCAGGTGAGGATCTAGTGAGGATGGTGCACCCGGAAGCAGAGGCCTTGAACCAGACCACTGCTACGAACGTGCTGATAAAGCTGACGGGACAAAGAGATATACAATGCCACCAGGATGAATGGAGAGGTGTTGGAGAGGCAGGAAAGAAGGGGAAGCAAAGAGATTTTTCTGTTCTTGTTTTGGTTTGTTTGGAGGGGGTTGTTTTTATTTCGTTTGCTTGTTTTGTTTTCTTTTGTAAGGGGGTGCAGCAGAGATGGGGGGAATATGGAGGGACTGGGAGATGAGCAGAATTGGGGTGCATGATGTGAAACTTCCAAAGACTCAATAGAAAAGTTAAATTTTTAAAAGTGTGTTCTTAATATGTAAAGTATTAGCTGAACACAAGTTCAAACAATGAATTTTCATGCTTTGAAAACTACCTGCTTTTCCCTTAAATAATAATAAAAGGTGCTTTTAGCTGGTTATTAGGCAGCTTTGTATTTTCTGGGGCAACAGAGGCTCATGAATCACCACTCGCTTTTCTTGGGGCTCTCCACTAAACCAGTTTTAAAAGTTCCCTAATTCCTTGTCTAGGCCAGGTGGTGGTACATGCCTTTAATCCCAGCACTCAGGAGGCAGAGCCAGGCAAACCTCTGTGAGTTCAAGGCCAGCCTGGTCTACAAGAGTTCATTCCAGGACAGGTTCCAAAGCTACAGAGAAACCCTGTCTTGAAAAACAAACAAAAAAAAACTAAATAAATAAAGTTCCCTAATTCCTTGTGTGTTTCCGACAACTGAAGGAGGAAGAGGGAACCGTAGATTGCACAGATACTCTGAGCCACACACATTCCCACATTCCTCATATATACATGTGATCTCCTGGGTTGCATGTGGAAATTTTCTGGCACTCTGCCAACAATGTAGCTTTTCTCAGCAGACCCAAAGAAAAGAGCAACTATGAAACTGGTTATTTTACCGCACAGTTTACTGCCCAGGGCAATAGACTGAGGAAGGCATGAGAAAAGAATGTGCCTCGTGAGTGTTGCTGTATTTTCTCCCCCTTGGTCAGATTCCTGCGTAGCTCTATTTTAAATCAAGTCTAATTTAGGTTCCTAGCCAGTGTTTATTATGGGATGTGTAGTATAGGCCACATTGTAAGAAGTAAAGAGTTTTTAAGTTTAAACTTAAGCGCCAAATGAAATTTTAAAAATTAATAATATAAGGTAAGAAATCCAAACTTAAGCACACACTTCTCCTTCCTTGGAGGGTCTTTCAAGAGTTGCAGAATTCGTTCTTTTCTTTCGGTTTGTTCATTCCTCCTCTGCTTTTTTTAACATTTTGAGAAAGAAAAGAAAAAAATAAAGACCTGGGGAATAATAAAATAAATTGGGTATAGTTGTACATCATTTGAGAAAAGCAATGAAATTCACTGCCCCATACAGTCCCTGTATGTGCAGTGATGCATAGTCTCACGGGTTTGCTAACACCGTGGTCATACGGGCTGATGGCGGACATTCCTCCAGGGGTTCAGAAATCCACTGCTCCACTCAGTTGGCCAGGCGGTTAAAGGAGTCATGGTCAAACGCATGGCCTGGCAATAGTGTAGGAACTCATCCAACACAGGGAGTCATTTAAATGGATAAGAAACCCAGTGAGGGGGGGCTGGAGAGATGGCTCAGTGGTTAAGAGCATTGCCTGCTCTTCCAAAGGTCCTGAGTTCAATTCCCAGCAACCACATGGTGGCTCACAACCATCTGTAATAAGGTCTGGTGCCCTCTTCTGGCCTTCGGCATACACAGATTATATACATAATAAATAATAAATAAATATTAAAAAAAAATAAACCCAGTGAGGGACAAGAGTAGGAGAAATAGATTGAGGGGTTCACATTGCATTATAAGATATGGGAATAGAGCTGGAAAGATGGCTCGGCTGGTAAAGACATCTGCCACCAAGCATAGTAACCTGAGCTGCATCCCTGGGACCAACAGAGTAAAGGAGAGAGCCACTTCCCCAAGGCTGGTCTCTGAAAATGAATGCATAAATAAATAAATGTAATAAATTTTTTTTGATCCAAGGTTTAACTTTATCAGTAGTCTCAGAGTGTCACAGTGCAACCAACTACCCCGGTAATAAAACTTTTTAAAGACTGTGGGAATAGTTGAAGTCCTGGAAAAGTCTAGCTTAGAGTAACATGCAGTGTGAATAATTGGGTTGTTACTGTCGTTGCTGTAGCTGCTGTGTATCTAAACTGGGCTTCATCTTCAGATCCTTCTGCCTCAGCCAACCAGTGCTGGGATTATGGGAGTACACATTATCTGCCACATATAAAAATAGATTTATTCAAATCTTCTGATTGTGAAATGATCTGAAGACAGAAATGGATTTTTTTTTTTTCAGAAAAGGTGAGGTAATGCAATTGGGTACTAATCCAGCCATCACCTGCTGAATCTACTTATGATCACATGAAAGTAGCCTGCTGATTTGGAGAATAAAAGGTATATTTTACAGTTTCCTTCTTAGAAGTATGACTTCCCTTTTTCCACCAAGCTTTGTAAGAAGAAACACCAAAGTCAAAGTAGTAACATCTAGGTTGCTGCTCTGATTTTGTTCTATTTGTGATTACGGGCAACCCATCTAATCTTTTTGACCTGTGGTCCTCGTCTACAAAATTAGAAGGCTATAGCATCTCCGCCTCACAGGTCTGTTAGAAGAATAAACAAGATAAGATTTGTAAAAACTTAGTAAGTCGGAAAGTAGTCTGTGAAGGTTCATGTTGAGTTAATAGACAAGATGTTTTTCACCTCTTGTTACCAGGGGCCAGTATGCTTGG